CACTTTAGGGCCATAAAATATGAATTCAACATGATTTTCGATTTTTCCTGTGCTAATATCTACGCCATCTTCATAAATCCGGGCAATCGACCCGAATCACCTAAAATTATGGGCCAATTAGAGATGACCTAATGAACAATAGTCATTTCTTCTCCATGCCATTTCCTCGTTTTTTGGTGCTTAGAGCCATAAAACAGGCATTTAACATGATTTTTTGATTTTCGTGTGCTAATGTCCACGCCATCTTCATGAATTCAGGCTACTGGTCCCAAATCACCAAAAAATTTAGGGGCCTGTAAAAACTGACCTAATGAATAATACTCACTACTTCTCCATGATCGTTCCTCGTTTTTGGCTTTTTAGGGCCATAAAACTGGAATACAACATAATTTCTGATTTTTCGTATGCTAATATCCATGCCATCTTCATGAATTTGCGGGCTCATCAAAAATGACCTAATGAACAATAGTCATTGCTTCTCCATAATTTTCCTCGCTTTTTGGAATTTTAGGGCCATAATAAAGGAATTCAACACAATTTCTAATTTTTGTGTGCTATAAAATTCATGCCATCTTTATGAATTTGGGTGACCGGTCCCAAATAGAAAATTTTGTGGGCTTATCACAAACGACCTAATGAATAAATTCATCGCTTTGCCTTGACCGTTCCTTGTTTATGGAGTTTTAGGGCCATATAACAAGTATTCAAGACGATTCTAGATTTTCGTGTGCTATAGTCCACGCCATCTGCATTAATTCGCACGACCGACTTCAAAACTCCTAAAATTTTGCGGCCCTATCACAAACGACCTAAACAATAGTCATCGCTTAGCCATGACCATTCCTCATTTTTTGACATTTTAGGGCCATAAAACAAGAATTCAAGATGGTTCCCAAATTTTCGGGTGCTATAGTCCACGCCATTTGGATGAATTCGGGCGCCCAGCTCGAAATCTCCTAAACATTTTGCGGGCCCATAAAAAATAACCTAATAAACAATAGTCATCGCTCCACCATGACCGTTCCTCATTTTTTTGCGTTTTAGGTCCATAAAATAGGAATCAGGACGATTCTCGGGTTTTCATGTGCTTTAGTCCACGACATCTGCATGAATTTGGGAGACCGACCCCGAATCCGGAAATGTAAAACAAAAGTTTTTCCCTTCATCTCGGTCGCTTTTACTTTTTTGTTATTTTGTAATCCCAGGGTATGATACCTTATAGCTTCACAGTTACAAGTCATTTTTTCATTTTGGGGTTGGCTTCTTTGTTCTATCAGGATTGGGCGGACTTTCCCTTAAGAATGTTTATTATGGAGGCCAGTGTTGCCAATGCATCCGCGAGCTTATTTTTCTCTGGGTAGTGGAGAGAAACTGATTTTCTTGAATTGCTCAGTGAACTTTTCAAGATAAGCATGGTATGTGAAAAGCTTTTCATATTTCATTATAATTATTTTTCCGAAAATTTTGCGGGCCCATAAAAGTGATCTAATAAATAATAGTCATCTCTTAGACATGACCTTTTTTTTTTGGCATTTTAGGGCCATAAAACAAGAATTCAAGACGATTCCCAAATTTGCATGAGCTATAGTCCACGCCAGCTGCATGAATTCGGGTAAACTAGCCACGAATCTACTAAAATTTTGCAAGCCCATAAAAAGCGACCTAATAAACAATAGTCATTGTTTCTATGTGATCGTTCTTTATTTTTTGGCATTTTAGGGCCATAAAATAGAAATTTAGGACGATTCCCAAATTTTCGTGTGATATAGTCCACGCCATCTGCATGAATTCGAGCGACCGACTTCGAAACTCCTAAAATTTTGCGGGCCTATCACAAATGACCTAATGAATAATAGTCATCACTTAGCCGTGACAGTTCCTCATTGTTTGGTGTTTAAGGGCTATAAAACAGGAGTTCAGTACGATTTCCAGATTTTGTGAGGTATAGTCCATGCCATTTGTAGGAATTCGGGTGACCGGCCCGGAATCTCCTAAAATTTTACGGGCCCATAAAAAATGACCTAACAAAATATATTCATCGCTTCTCCATGACCGTTCTTGTTTTTTGGCATTTTAGGTCCATAAAACTAGAATTAGGACGATTCTTGGATTTTCGTATGCTATAATCCACGCTATCTGCATGAATTTGGACGACCAGCCCTGAATCTCCTAAAATTTTACGAGCCCATACAAAATAACCTACTAAATAATAGTCATCGCTTTGCCATAATCATTCATTATTTTTTTGGCGTATTAAGGCCATAAAACAGGAATTCAGGACGATTCCAAAATTTTCGTGAGCTATATTCCATGCCATATGCATGAATTTATGCGACCGGCCTCGAATCTACTAAAAATTTGTGGGCCCATAACTAATGACCTAATGAATAATAAGCATGCTTCTACATGACCGTTCCTCATTTTTTGACGTTTTAGGGCCATCAAATAGGAATTTAGGATGATTCCCTCATTTTCTTGCACTATAGTCCATGCCATCTGCATGAATTCGGGTGACCGGCTTCGAATCTCGTAAAATTTTGCGGGCCTAAAAAAATGACCTAATGAAACAATAGCCATTGCTTCTCCATGACCATTCCTCATTTTTTGGCATTTTAGGGCCATAAAATAGGAATTCTGTATCATTCCTAGATTTTTGCGTGCTATAGTCCATGCCATCTTCATAAATTCGGGTGACTGGCTCTGAATCTCCAAAAAGTTTGCGGGCACATAAACAATGACCTAATGAATTATCGTCGTCGCTTCGCCATATCCTTGTTTTTGGCATTTTATGGCCATAAAACAGGAATTCACGACGATTCTCATTTTTCATATGCTATAATCCACGCCATCTGCATGAATTCGAGCGACTGGCTCAAAATCTTCTATAATTTTGCGGACCCATTAAAAACTACCTAATGAACAATAGTCATCGCTTCACCATGATTGTTTCTCATTTTTTGACATGTTAGGGACATAAAACAAGAATTAAGGACGATTCCCAAATTTTCGTGTACTATTGTCCATGCCATTTGCATGAATTCGAACGACCGACTCCGAATCTCCTAAAATTTTTCAGGCCAATAAATGACCTAATTAACAATAGTCATCTTTTCTCCATGACCATATCTCGTTAATTGGCGTTTTAGGGCCATAAAATAGGAATTCAGAACGATTCCCAGAATTTTGTGTGCTATAGTGCGTGCCATCTGCATGAATAGAGAAGACCGATCCCTAATCTCCTAAAATTTTTCCAGACCATAAGAAATGAACTAATGAACAATAGTCATCACTTCTCCATGACCGCCCCTTATTTTTGGGCGTTTAGGCCATAAAACAGGAATTTAAGACGATTCTTAAATTTTCATGTGCTATAGTCCACTCCATCTGCATGAATTCGGGCTACTGGCTCCGAATCTGCTAATATTTTGTGGGCACATAAAAATGACCTAATGAACAATGGTCATCGGTTCTCCATGGCTTTTTCTTATTTTTTGGCATTTTAAGGCCATAAAATAGGAATTCAGGATGATCCCTAGATTTTTGTGCACTATAATCTACGCCATCTGCATGAATTCAGACGACCGGCTCAGAATCACCTAAAATTGTGGTCCCATAAAAACTACGTAATGAACAACGGTCATCGCTTCGCCATGACTGTTCCTCGTTTTGAGCATTTTTGGACCATAAAACAGGAAGTCTAAACGATTCCAAAATTTTTTGTGTGCTATAGTCCATGCCATTCACATGAATTCGGGTGACCGACTCCGAATATACTAAAAAATTGGGGGCCAATAAATAACCTAATGAACAGTAGTCATACTTCGCCAAGACCGTATCTTGTTTTTTTTGGTAATTTAGGGCCATAAAACAGGAATTCTGGACGATTTTCGTGTGCTATAGTGCATGCCATCGGCATTGCAGCTGTAAAGTTTCCTTTTTCTCTCTCTCGTCGATAAGCCTAACGGTAACATCTCTATCTCCACCGGCAAATCCCCAGCGCCGGCACTCGTCTAGGTGAACCAGGTAAGTACTCGTCCCTCTCTTTCTCTCTCCTTTCTTTCTCCCCGCATCTCTCTCTCTCTCTCTCTCTCTCTCTCTCTTTCTCTCCTTTCTCTCTCCCCGTATCTCTCTCTCTTTCTCTCCTTTCTCTCTCCCCGTATCTCTCTCTCTTTCTTCCCCTTTATTTTAACCCTAGAAGCACCTGAGCTGGCGACCGGCGACCCACCGGCACCGTCATGTCTCTCTTCTGCTTTTCCGGCCCAACCACACCTTCCTCCTCTGTGTTTCTCTTTCTTCAAACCTTTTCTCATCGCATCACTGTTTCTCGGACCGGCACTATTTTCCGGCGACCGTTCTGGTGATAGTCCTCTTTTTTTCTTGGCCCCGTGGTTTGTTGTGTGTGTGACAGGTAGCACTTTTGGTGGCTGTTTGGTGACGGGTGGGAGGTTCACGGGCAAGCGTAGCAGAGCAGGCCATTTGGCAGTCACAAAGGGCTTGACGTCGGGTTCCAAAGCACCCAGGTTATATTCGCGAGAATTGCTGCGCTGCCCAGGCAAGCGCGAGGCATACGGGCGAGTAGAGCGGAGCATCACCGGGTGCATCAAGTCATATTTCCAGGTTCTTTCCATCAGGAGTTGGTACCTCCCGTTTTCTTGTCTCTTCTCTATGTTAGTTAATTTGTGGCTATTTAGTTAGCATCACTTTAAGAATATTATTATAATACTTATAGTTGCAACCGAGTATTTTCTAGTTTGGGTCCATGTTAGTGTTTTCCGGAGTTTGCCGTAGGTATAGTGGCTGTGGTGTGGGATGGTAGAGTAAGGTCATGTCCTCGAGGGGTGCCAGGGGTGAGAAGGGGGGTGGGGAGGGGGTCAGGGGTTGGGACAAGAGGAAAGGAGGGTAAGAGGAAAGAGGGAGCTTGTAGATTGAGGATCGGGTTGTGGAACATAGGCACGCTGACGGGTAAGTCTATTGAGTTGGCAAAGATTCTACAGAAGAGAATGGTTAATATAGCTTGTGTCCAGGAGACTAGGTGGGCAGGGTCGAAGGCGAGGAATGTGGACGGGTATAAGTTATGGTACTCTGGAGTCATGAAGGGTAAGAATGGAGTGGGTATCTTGGTGGATATGGATCTTAGAGAGTCTGTGGTTGAGGTTAGGCGAGTGAATGATAGGCTAATGTTTATTAAGTTGGTGATTGGTGAGTGCACCCTCGATGTAGTTAGCTTTTACGCGCCGCAAGCGGGCTTGGATGAGGAGGTTAAGTGGCGCTTTTGGGAGGGCTTGGACGAGATGGTGCGTAGTATTCCACCTATTGAAAGGTTATTTAATGGCCATATTGGGGTGGCTGCTGGTAGTTATGGCGAGGTGCATGGTGGCTTTGGCCTTGGGGATAGGAACGGAGGAGGTACTTTGCTGTTAGACTTCGCTAAGGCTTTCGACCTGGTGATTGCGAACTCAACTTTTTCGAAGAGGGAGAAGCATCTGGTTACTTTCCGAAGTTCGGCGGTGAAGACTCAGATCGATTACCTTCTCCTCAGAAGGTGTGATAGAGGGTTGTGCAAGGATTGCAAGGTTATCTCGGGAGAGACCCTCCCGACTCAGCATAGGCTCTTAGTGATGGACATCGACATTAAGATGAAGAGGAAGAAGAGGTATGCTCGTGGCCGACCGAGGATTAGATGGAGAGCTTTAACCAAGGATAAAGCGCAGGAGTTGGAGGGGAGGTTATCCGCTATGGGAGCTTGGAGGAGTAGTGGAGACGCGAGTACTATGTGGTAAACGACGGCGAACTATGTGAGGACGGCGAGAGAGGTGCTAGGTGTATCGAAGGGTTTTTCTGGCAGGCACCAAGGAGATTGGTGGTGGAATGACATAGTCCAACAAGGCATACACAATACATCTTAGTTGAGAATATCCAGTTCTCCAATCGGAAACTGCCAAAACAGGATAAAACACAAAGTAGTCATTTTCCCAACCCTCTTACATGACAGAGTTATGTTTAAAAATGACTCTTCATCGCCATATCATTTCTTCTGTGCTGGTTGCGAATATCGTAAAAATGCGATAGAGAAATTTATTAGGAGTTCAATTAGCCTATTACTAAACCCATAGAAGATGGATTTTCAGCTAAACTATTTTCTCAGCAGATCCAAACTAAACACATAGGCCTCTTTAGAGAAGCCATTCTTTACGTACCACATAATTGAAAGCATTAGTTAAAAGTGTGACAGCAAGCCATATATGGGAATCCAAACTACGGAAGTTTCAAAGCTATTAAACCCAGAACCCAAAAGACTACAGCATGAATTAAGAACCTTTTTGCCAAGAACTAAAAAAACACAGTAAAAATGTATAGCAATGGTAACAAAAACAGTAAAAATGACCAAAATAATTAAGAAAATTACCAGGCTATGGTGATTTTGGGCTTCTCTGATTCGAGCACAAATCTGATTTTAGAATTCGGGGATTTGGAGAAGGCTAGCAACTGTCCTTAAAGAAGTGCCGGAATTGTTCAAAATTTGGGGATTTGGGGTTTTGGACTTTGGGAACTGTAGGGTTTGATGATTATGGTGGTCTAATGAAGAGGTATTTGATGAAACTCGGCCATTAATTTGATGAAGAGCAAGGCTAGAATATCTATACCGTTGTTTGTGAATCCTAGGCATGATACAGTCATTGGTCCTTTCCCGCAAGTTCTGGAAAATGGAGAGAAACCAGTCTATAAACAAGTTCTGTTTTCCGACTATTGGGATTATTTTTGCTAAAAAAAAGAGATCATAGAGGGGATTTTGGGTGTATCGACGATGGGAGCTGAGTTAGGATGTATCGATGAGTGGGGATACAGTACTGGAGATACACTGGAGGTGGAGGGGTTTATTGTATTTACGTTATTAAAATTAATTAAAAAATATAAAATGACTGGTCACTTAATTAGCTTGGCGGGCCAGCAAAATTTCAGCGAAAAAACGAGAGGGAACGACTAACCGTTCCCACAGCAATTTTCCCCCCAAAACGATTGCCATATATATGTCTATTGGGACGGTTTACAAATCCGTTGCAAAATAAATCTCTATGGCAACGGTTTTGTTACAATCGCAACGGTTTGATGTCTAAAGCGTGCTGATACCACCCAAATTCTATTGTAACGGTTTCAACCGTTACTATCTCTACTCTATGGCAACGGTACAAAAACCGTTGCCAAAATAACTGTTCCCATAGGCCCATTTTCTGGTAGTGACTTTAGCTTGCGACTTACACATATCTATTTATACTTGTTCGCAACCTTCCTTAACTTTGCTTGCACCATATATTTCCTCATGTTATTATGGAACATCAAGCGAGACATCACATCGTCTCTAACTCTTCTTTACTCTCTTGACTAGATCTCTCGGTACTTAGAAACCATAGGCTGGAAGGTACGCCATTTACGACGTTGCTATCATTCCTAGATATTGAATCCTAGTGCTTCTAGCCTTCTATCCGAAGCATGGACTATTCACGTTCTTTTGCCTTTGAGTATCTTGTGCGTTGTTCACCTTTACCTTACTTACCTTAAAATCTCTCATGATACCTTTTGTCTCTTTCTTGATTCCCTTTTACATAGGTATAATTCACGGTATAATTCACGTCCATAACTTGAAGCTCTATTATAATACTTGCACCTCCGATGCCTATACAATCCGGTGGGAGCTCCACACTGAATTCTCATGAGGCTGATACTTTTCTAACTAACCTTATCAAAGAGTCGTTATAGAATATGGTTGTTGTACTATCCTTTTGGTACCTCTGATATTAAGAGTGATCCTGTAATGTTCTCAATCACGATTTCTATAATTTTCTGGGTCCAATAATCAGATTCCTGATTTACTTCGTTAATGTAACTCTTTAGTTTTCTCCTTCTTCTGATCAGCCTTTATGTCGGCTTAAGTGATCTTCCGATCTGTGGCTCATGGCATTTAGTTATTACTTTATACTTTGATGGACGCTATGGAAAACCATGATATAATCTTCTAATGATTCAATGCTTTGCCTATGACCTGGACCCAATTCCTTCTTTTAACTTATATCAGAGTCTTCTACGGCTGATCATTAATCGAATAATTTCTTTCATTCCATTTCAGCTTTCTTCAAATGTACATTATTACTTTTCCTGGTTTTTTGCCTCCTTGTTGCGTGCATACTTAGCTTATCTTTGTTCCCACGCATGCCGGAATTTTTCATGCAACTCATATGATCTCGAATGTTACTTTTGATTTTACTTCTCGTTCATTAACCACAATAGGTGCCACTTTCTTATGGAGTGCATACAATGTTGTAGTGAGACACTTTTTACAAGACCATTTCCTCTTTAGGTCACTCTGCTTATGTTGAAGCCTTCTTCCTTATTTCCTCAGCTAGTCTTTCATTGTAGTACTTAGGGAGACCTTCTGGCTCTGGTAAAGTTACAAGATTATATATTGCTTACCCGATAGAATTTTTGATGTTCCTACTCACCTATAATTGTCCTTAGTTACTTACCTCCATGCTCATGTGCTTGCATAGTTGCTTTCTGAACTGAAGTTCTGACCGTTTTCCCAACGGGACTCTATTTTATTTCCATAACATTCATACATTATCTTTAACTACCCAACTCCTATCTGAATATTCCTCAAGTATTATAATGTCATATCTGCGAGACTGAATTCCCCACGTTTGGAGTTCACTATATCTATCTTGCTCAATCTATTGATTTGTCTGTATCCTCTTGTCTAGCCATAACTAGGCTCTTCCTGAATTAACTACTAACTACTCGTTGGCCCATTCTCATATCAATATTCCGCGTAATCTTTCTTGGGTTATTTTTCTTTATCTTAACTTATGTCTCGTACTGGCTCCTTATTCATCAAAGACATCTCAGGTAGGAACCCTTACTTCCTCTCCTTGACGTCGTGTTTGCGTAATGTCCTGGAATCATAGCATATCTGTAGGCCTTGAATAAGTGCAATTTCATCCCTTTCTCATTTTTATCGCATTCCTTCTTTACCATTCCATAGTTACTAGAACTACTTAATTATGACTTAATATCACGTCACTCCATATTCCCCTCTTTGGGGAAGTACTAAGATTTAGAGCTACGATGACCAACCAAAATATGTTTTACCTCTTCATCTTTGGCATCCTTTCACATTATCGATGACCCTTACGCATCTTGCGGTAATCCTTCTTTACCAAGGATAACAAAATTCCTTACTCATGAGGGTGACACTTAGTATAACTAGCACATACAGTCCCTTAAGCTGAACTTTGCTCACATTGCTTGCTTTAGGGAAGCGTCTTCCTGAATGACCATTCTCTGAATTTCTCATGAATCTTCTTCTATTGTCCATTTTGTTATTGCTGGAACAAAATCTGAAATTTCTCATGATGCCGACTATTATCAATCACTTTGTCCCTAATTCATGCTTAGCTTATCTTGTTCACCAATCCATACTAGTTTGTATTACTCCGGTCTAACTTTTTCTTTTGGTAATCGCGTCAGAGTTGAGAACTTATTTCTCTAAATGAGGATATGACTTTATGGCCTATATTCTTTTGTTGTCTCAAGGCCTGTCACCTCTCATTTTTTTCCTTCACTTGACTATAAACTCTGTAATACTGTCGTCTTTTTTTTTTCTTCTACCGTTGTCATCCATGTATCATATCTTACTTATAATGCTTCATTAACTTTCTTCTTATTTCCCGCTAGCATTATGTCTATCACATTATTCTGAAAACTTCAATAAGACATTCTCTTGCTTTTAGCTCCCCTTTGCTTCATCCAGTGGCTCTTCGCGTTGCCTAACATTCTTTCTTTACTAGGGACGGGAGCCACACAAAGGTAATATTTATCCCTTCCAGGCTTTCAATGCCTATCTTTGTAGTACTCATATCTAGTTGTACTATTCTAGAGTGCACCACCTAGGTGTCTCATAAGGAGATCTACTAGCACATTTGCAATGTTCTTTGGAAATGTCAACTAACGCAAACAATCCATCCACCGTTTTGGGTTACTCTAACCCTAGCCGGATTCTGATATCCCGTCCTTCTCTTAAACCATATATGTTAGCTCCCATAGGGAATAATTGAGATCGGTGTGGCCAATTGTACATATCTCTGTCACCGTTGAAGGTAACTCAAAATGCTTATATTTCTCTGTTTAAATTGTAAATACTATTAACCTTCATTAACTGGGTATGTCGTACCCTTCTTCAGCTTGCTTCTTTTACTTGTTGAAACTTGTGTCTACCTTCCAATTCTCATATTCCTTTTTACCGTAAGAGTGGATAGATATTCTTGCCTTAGGGATCCTTATCAAGAAGCTTGCACGTCTTAGTATCTACATGTTTTGCTAGAGACCTTACATTTACTCATCATAAGCATGATGCAAAATCGAGTTCCTCTGACTCAACTCTGCCACACCTATATCTCTTACCAACCGTCTTTCTGGATGTAGGCATCGTCATACTATGAATAACATAGAGCTAGGAAATTGAGTTCTATGACACGATCTAGAGTAAGAAGAAAGAGTGACACTCTTAAATGCCTGTAGCCTCCTGCTTATAAGTGTGGTGCACGACACACCCATAAACAAGACTCTACTAGACATGACTTGTAGACTCCCTAGGACAGAACTGCTCTGATACCACTTTTGTCACGACCCAACTGATGGGCCGCGATGGGCACTCGGTACCTTACTCAACCGAGTACCTACATAATGTATCTTTTCATGTCGTACTATCATAGATAACTGAGCCGGAAGG